CAGGTTGAGGACGCTCAGCTAGAGTGTGCTGGATGTAGGCTTGTTGGGGCTAGTAGTAGGGAGCGTCCTCGAACGGGGTGTAACGAAAACTCCCAATGCCCAACCGCAAACCCAAGCACAATCTACGTTTGACCAAGAAGAGAGGACGAACAGCAACTTGCCGGCAAAATTATGTTGCGCAAAAGCGTCTCCAATCATCAGGCCTAAGAATACGAAAGGTCACTCAGACCGGGTGACCTTTCTTTATTCGCATGTAAAAGTCAGAAGCTGCTCTTTTTTTTCGTATGCCAGGTCATAATCACTACCAATCACTACCAATTACTTTACTACCAACCACTACCCGCCATTACCAATCACTACCAAGTACTACCAAGCACTACCAATCATCCAATCATCACCAACCACTACCAATCACTACCAATCGCTAGCAATCATTGCCAATCAGCCTACGAATGAAGAACGGTCACCCAGACCGCGTGACCTTTCTTTATTCGTATGTAGAGATCAGAAGCAGTCACCTGGACCGGGTGACCTTTCTTCAGTGGTAGGTAAAAATAAAGAGAGGTCACCCGGTCAAGTGACTATTCCTACCAACCATCACAAATCACTACCAAGCATCACTACCAATCACTACGAATCACTACCAACCACTACCAACCACTACCAAGCGTTACCAATCACTACCAATCACTACCAATCAGCCTACGAATGAAGAACAGTCACCCAGACCGCGTGACCTTTCTTTATTCGTAGCCAACCCAGTCCAGATGATCGTTGTTTATTCGAACAAGAGCAAGGTCACCTGAACCGGGTGACTTTCTATTTTTCGTGCATTAGAATCAAGGAAGATCACGTGGGAGGGGTTCACCCCTAGATCTTTGTAGGATTGATACTCTAACACTGTAACGCCGGGGTCCAGCCCTAGATCTTTGTAGAATTGAAAGGATACTCTAACAATGTATCGCCGAAGTCTGCCACTAGATCTTGGTATGATCTGAACAAATACTCTAACAGTGTAACGCCGGGGTCCACCACTAGATCTTCGTAGGATTCATTTGATATTCGAACAAGGGTTCTCCACCACTAGATCTTTGTAGGATTCACAAAATACTCTAACAACGAAACGTCGGGCTCCCCACTAGATCTTTGTAGGATTTAAAAGATACTCTAACAATGTAACGCCGGACACCTTCTGACAAGCTACTCCCAGCCGGCAGTGAACTGTCAACTTTGTTGGAGGCTGGCATGTTTCTTGTCCGACGGCCAAGTAGGGCCCTTTCCGCAGTGTTCTGTTCTTGCCAGTTCCGCCCAGGACTAAATTCGCAGCACGTAAACATCAACACACCTGCAACTGAAGCCACAGTGAGCATGCGGAGAAGCGAAAGCGCTTCTGTGCAAGAGAAACAGAGAGAAAGACAAATAAAGCGAGAGAGAGAGGGAGGGGGGAGAACGCAATTGCAACATTTGCAACCCGTCATTCAATGTAGCAATGTAGCAATCTCCGTCTGTACTTTCAACCCGTCTAAGAGCTGGACGTCCTTCTTGGACGCTGCGCGCCAGCTCCAAGCCTAATGCGGGGGCACGGCCTGGGCACACGCGACAGGGCTCTTGAATTCAAGAGCCCCCTTTTCCCCTTCAGGCCATGGTCGGTGCGTCGAGCTGGAGCTGTTGGAAAGCTATGACTATGAGCGGGCGCTCTGAACAACTTGAGAAACTTGAGAACAACCAATAAACGAAACCACAACCAGCAACCGTGGAACAAAAAGGTGCGGCCGGGGAGCAGACGACGAAGTCAAGTCGATCAACAGAAGCCAGCCATCTCAAAAGGAGCTCGCTACATCGTCGACGTAGGGTTTGCCAATCAAGTTGCTGGACTTGATCCTCCTTCGCAGCCACTTGGGTGGGATCTTCCAGCAGCTGGTCGGGCGATGCATCCGGCTGCGTTTGCCGCCTTATGCGGTACCGATTCGCCAGAAAAGATCGTGGCGCATAGCTCCTGCGGGCACACTACAAAGGGCGCAATGCATGTCATGCGTGGTGCTTCCAAGATGTCGCCGCCTCCCCAACGCCAACAGCTGGTCGAAAGCTGGCTGCGAAGAAGCATGCACGCAAGCCGCCCTGAGCTGCGCAGCCTCCTGCACCTCAGAAAGATTGCGCGAGCACTGCGGGCCAAAGAAGCGTTAACGACTTCCACGTCTGGGGCGAGGCGCTGCAAGGTTTCCCGCCACCAAGCCGACACGCCTGGCGCGATAATGGCAATGGGAATTGGGAGATATCGGCTCATTCAGCAACATCGTGCCAGGCAAGATCCAACTCAACCATTGTAGTGTTGTTCTTTTTTTTGCCTCCCACCTTTAAATAGCTGTACGTCGCCGTACTGGTGCCCCAATTGTCCTTGATGGACCTGCAAGCTTCAATTTGTAATTGATCCTTGGTGATTGATTGCAAGCAGGACGGACTGATGAGGTAGTGATGATGCTCCCTGCGGCATTTTGCTCGATGATGGGAACTGCTGCTTAATTGGTGGTGCTACAACTCTCCTTAACGATTCGATTGTTGTGCCGGCACTGCTGTTTTGTGCGTATGCCGAGACGGTACAGGTCAGACTTTTCAATCTGTTGTTCTGAGAACTACCCTGCAATGCGGGCTCGTCCTAGCTAGTGTTGTTCTTTTAAGGGTTTGGGTTTAAGAAAGGGGCATCCAGCAAGCAATGACCTCCGGGTTCTTCGGCCCGGGCTCGATGTCCTGGCTCAAGAACCCTGTGAGTCCCACAGCAGGCACATCGAATTTGAAACCAACTGCAGCCCCTGGATGAGCCTGAACCTAGTAGACGAGGAGAGTGAATGAGCTCTTGTAGAATCTACAGCCTAAACACATCCCGGTACGAAGGTATGCAGAGGAGGCAGACGGCCATGCACAAATTGAGAAAATACCGATGGACCTGGCATGTTTGGTTGGCTCGAGGACAGGAATGAGAAGCGTTCACGCGATTACGCTTTCACAACTCGGAAAAACGGAATTGGGGGAATTGCATTTGTCCGTGTCGCCTAATTAAAGCTCGTTCCGGTTTTGAATTCGGTGGCCCGCTTTCAGCGGCTCGTACTTCAGGCTCTCGGGTCCTAGGGTGCATCCTGCGGTACCATGTACACAACTACGGTCCTTGAAGTTGTCTCCGGATCGTTCTGGCACCACGACCTGGATGCGCGTCACACATGCTGGCAGCAATATGACAGCGCTGTCACAATCACGTGGCTGAGCGGGAAACTATTTCCGACTCATCCCAACCACCTGCCCAAATTTCTCACATCGTGCAGCAAAAGATCTGCAAGTCTTATGCCACCTTCTGATTGCGGCGGCTGGTCGCGTAGCCCTCAGCTCATGCAGGATGCCAAGATCCTAAACCAGGAGGTGATGACGCGAGGAAAAACTGAGATCGGATCAACTGAAGCCATTGCTCCACCACACTCGACTACTCGAGAGATCGTCAAAACCGAGCAGGCTCCGAGAATCTATGCGCAGCGGCTGTGCCCTCTTGAGACCAGAGGAGTCGTTCGTCCAGGGAGAGTTTCACCACATGATCCGAATGTGACTACCTGAAGGCTAGCAGTGCACGTGCAAGACGGGACATCTAACACGACCTATGATTCGAGACCAGTACCGATATGAAGTCCTTTTTTCCCGACGCACCAGGAACCCCAGCTCCCGTGTGTTGTTCTCTAAAGGCACTGCGGCGTGTCTTTTGAAAATTTCGGGCACATGGGAACATCAGAGGACTTGTGGACTGAACTCCTTTTGCTGTGAAAAGCAAGTCCGGGCCAACGTCACAAATCTCAGTATCAATCCTGAGTGTGTGTACTTGCTTGTGCCCGCAATGAGGTACCGAGGATCTGAAGATAAGACTTGAACAGCTGCATGGAGGACGAAGGCTTACCTCAGAAACCAGTCAAGTCGAACGAGGCTTCCTCGGCACCCACCCTAGCACCACACCAAGCACACTGCAACCCATCATCGGCCACATGACTGCCAGGAAAGCTTTGGCCATGTGCCAAGCCCAGCTGCCCGGTTCTCTTTTTGCTACGTCTTGCGGCCGGGACAACGTTTAAGATACTGTTCTGCAGAATGGACTGTGGATGCTGAAGATATGCTGCTATCGGCGAGCTGGGCGCCGAGCATAAAATCCCAGACAGGCAGGTGAGAAACACATGAGTGCAGAAGGACAAGATGCCCCTCTGCGCGCGGTGAGTTGCAACAGTTGCAAAGCAAATGCAAATTCGCCTGATGGCGATGGCGGTAGCTTGGCATTGCTTACGAGCAACATGCGCAGTCTTCTATTGACATCCTCCGTGTGCAATTTATGTACTCTTCTGGTCCTACCGTCTGCGCTTGCGCAAGCTCTCGAATTCCAATCTTGCAATACGATCCGGGTAGACTTGCGTTAATGCATGCCTCCGGGCAGTAGGTACCGGGCAGTAGGTACCGGTCACGCCAACTTTGGAAACTGTTTTGACTGTGGCCGGATGAAGCAGGTTCGACCCGTAGCTTGAACACGCAAGCCTCCCTGCAAAGTCACGGTCTGATATGAGATCACCGTCCGAAGCATGAACACTAGAGGCCGGCATCGGCAGCATCAGAAGAAAAATGCCGGGAGACCCAACTCCGCGCTTGTTTTTCCTCCCGAGGCAGCAAACTTCCCAGTTCCCTGAAGCCCGATGTCCTTGTCCATCGCCTCGAGCAGTCGCAGCGTCGCCTGCGCGGCGCCACGGCGGATCAACCAAGTTGACAGTGTCAGCTATGCCGCCGCATTCATGCCACTTCTGTGTGAGCTCAAAAAGCTCGACGCGGGGCCCACCTCTTGAATTCAATCTCAATATGCACTCAGCGGACAGCAGCGCCACCGAAGGAAATAAACCCCGACCTGCAAGGCAGGCTGTAGATGTTGGTGCAACTGCAGCTGCCCCGGCCCTTTGCTTGACGAGGCCTGTAGATACTAAGCTTCCTGCCGTAGAGCTGCAGCTGCACATCTTGCAGGAAAAACTCTGGCAGGAAGTTGTGCCAGTGGTAGGTCCAGGTGAGTACGCCGACTGTACTCCCTGCTGCAGTCGTGGTTACGGCATGACACAAGTACAGCAAAACAAGAATTTGCACTCGAAGCTGAGCATCAGGCTTCCAGAAGAGCACTGGCACAACCGTGCAGATGTGCCTCCGTGACCTTGAGCTTGCCCAGTTGGCCGGAAGCTTGGAAGCTTGAAAGTTTCGATTCGAGAAACCGTTCACGGATCCAATGGAAGAATTTCCCCAAACCGTAAGGCCGTAAGGGTTCCTGTGTCTTTCTAAGAATTCCGACCTGGCCGGATGCTCCGGCCGGGTCCCTGGGTTGCATGTCTGCATGTGTCTCCTTTGTCTCCCTTCATGTGGGCGGCCCTCTTCTGCGTCCCCGGCTGCTTGTCCCTGCTTGTCTCCCTTCACGTGCGTGGCCTCAGCCGGGTTCCCACTCTGCTTGTCCCTGCTTGTCCCCTTAATCTCCCTTCATGTGGGTGGCCTCGGCCATGTCCCCGGACTGCTTGTCTCTGCTTGTGTTGCCTTGTATCCCTTCATGTAGGTGTCCTCGGCCAATGCCCCGGGCTGCTTGTATCTGCTTGTCTCCTTTTCCCCGGGCCGCTTGTCTCTGCTTTGCTTGTCTCCCTTTGTCTCCATTCATGTGGGTGGCCTCGGCAGGGTCTTGCAAGAGTGTCGGTCACAAAGCTTCGAAATTAGCTCCAAGGCCTTGCAAGATTGTTGTCACAAAGCTTCGACACTAGCTTAACTAGCTCCAAGGCCTTGCAAGAATGTTGCTTGTTGCTTCGAAACTAAACAATCTTGCAAGGCCTTGCCGCAAGCTTCGCCGCTTTGACCAGATACCTTTGCAAGGCCTTGCAGCTAGTTAAGCTAGTCCGAAGCTTTGTGACCAACAATCTTGCAAGGCCTTGGAGCTAGTGTCGAATCTTTGTGACTAACATTTTTGCAAGGCCTTGCAGCTAGTTAAGCTAGTCCGAAGCTTTGTGACCAACAATCTTGCAAGGCCTTGGAGCTAATTTCGAAGCTTTGTGACCAGCAATCTTGCAAAGCCTCGGAGCTTGTTTCGAAGCCTTGTGACCAACAATCTCGCAAAGCCTTGGCGATAGTTTCCAAGCTTTGTGGCCAACAGTCTTGCAAGGTCTTGGAGCTAGTCTCGAAACTTTGTGACCAACAATCTCGCAAGGCCTTGGAGCTAGTTAAGCTGGTTTCGAACCTTTGTGGCCAACAATTTTGAAAGTCCTTGGAAATAAAATTTCGCAAGGCCTTGGAGCTTGTTTCGACGCTGTGTGACCAACAACCTTGCAAGACCTTGGAGCTAGTTAGTTTCTCGAAGCTGTGTGACTCACAATCTTGCAAGGCCTTGGAGCTAGAGTCAGAGGCTTTGTGACCAACACTCTTGCAAGGCTTTGGCGCTAGTTAATCTAGTTTCGAAGCTTTGTGCCAACAATCTCGCAAAGCCTTGGAGCTACCTTTCTTTGTGACCAACAATCTTGCAAAGCCTTGGAGCTAGTCAAAGCTCCAAAGCCCTGCAAGATTGTTGGTCACAAAGCTTCGAAACTAGTTCGAAACAAGATTGTTGGTCGCAACATCCACCCCAAGCATGGACGTTGTCCCAATATCCACCCTCAAGCATGGACGCTGGCCCAGCATCCACTCCTCAAGCGTGGATATTGGTCGGCCCAGCACCCACCCCTCAAGCACGGATGTTGGCGTAACATTCACCCATTAAGCGTAGACGCGCGTGCCGATTGCGTGTGCGGGCTAAGGGCGCAGGATGTGAGCGCGCACGACATGGCATGCCTCTCGACACTTGATTCACGGATTGCTGTCGCGTATACGTCGGTGATGTAATGACCCAGACCGAAATTGGTCACGATTGCCTGCCTTCCAATGATTGATGGTGCCTTAGTCGTCATGGCCAGAACTGCAGCGCTCCTGATTTCACGGGGCTGCTGTCACGTATATGTGTGTGATATACTGACCAAAGCCGGAATTGGCCTTACCTCCGACGAGTGGTGGTGCCTAAGTCGTTCTGGCCAGAGCGGCAACTCGTTTCATTTCACGAGGTTGCTATATGTTGCTATCACGTCTATGTTTGGGATCTACTGGCCAAGATCGGAATATTGCTTGACTTCGAACTGCCCCATCTGCTAGCATGGGCGAACACATCCATTGCAAGCTTTAGCCAGGAGTCTTTGTCATTCGCGTATATTTGATACCTTTGAAGTCTCGGGCTTCTTTGTTGCGGGTTTTTTTTTCATGCACTGTAGCCTGCGAACATGCCATTCCGCTCTTAACTGCTTGGGTCTTCGCTGGTGTAATTCGGGGATTCTTCGGAAGCATCGTCGTTCTACCGAATCTGCGTCCAGAAACATGTACTAGTAGGAGACAAACATGGTCAAACCAAACAAAAATCGCGAATCATGCAAGCCAAGATCTGTTCACATATCTAAGGCAGCCGCCAGCAGTTTGAGCACTGAAGTTGCCAGCACTGCGAGCAGCACTGTGTGCAGCACAGCGAGCCGCACTGCGAGCTGCACTGCCGACAGAAACGGCAGCCGCAGCGGCAGCAGCAGCAGCAGTGTTGGTCGCACTGTTGGCGGCAGCAGGCCAGTGCAATGGCTTCAGGGCCTGACTCAAACCCAGGAACGTCCTAATGAAAGGTGACGCAAGCAAACGTCTCGCAACGTGAGCTCGCTACTCCAGACTGGATCGATGTGGAACACAAGTTCGAGGGCCTTCCCGAACGATTGGGAACGCTGGGGATGCTGGGTCAAGTGTCTCAAAGAAACCGCGGGCCGTGCCTTAGCCCCCGCTTCTTCGCAGAAAGTCTGTCGGACATGCGGTGGTCTGAGGAGTAGCTGGACGCGGAAGTGGCTGTCCGGGTCAAAATTGCCTTTGCAACTTCACAGCTGATTCAATTGACAGTGACCTGCCGGAAGCGGCTTTACGGTTTACCAGCACATCAGGCCTGACGCCCCCCTGAACTGCTCGGAATTGATCTGAAAATACAGGAAGGTGGCGCTGCCTTCATCATCGAGCCGACCAATGCAGGCGAAGCCGGAAAGCACGAAGTCGCGACGCGTGACGCCGTCCTCCTTGGAATGCATTGAGGATGTGGTGCCGGCATTGGCTCAACTTGCTGCTACCACATCGAGAGCATGCATTACCCTTCAGGTCCCCACGTCGCTAGCACACTCCAGTGTCCGCAGAACTACGGTGCCCTGCAAGCAAATAAAGCCGTGACGTCAGCGACATGGTCAAAATTGCTCGGCCTCACCGGCGTTCGATGGTGCAGGTTCTGGCCTAAAAAATGCGTGTGCACATTGGTTCTTTCTACCATCTCCAGGTAGCTCAGCACACCAATCGCTAAGCCAAGTGCTCAGACAGCACCAAAGCGAAATGCCCATAGTGCCAATGATTTTTGCAGATGAGGATGTCCTTGCATCTCTGAGCTGTTTGTTATTATTGGCCCCCCAGTTCATAGAAAGGTCCTGTTTAAAACCGGTTGGGCGGACTTATTCAGGATCCTTGCAAACTGTTGGGGAGGTACTGGTTAGATCGATGCGCTTCGGGCGGCGTAAACTAAACCTGAGTTTTCCGAAATCGCTGTGAACCTACTCGCCATGACCACTTCTAGAACCGATCCTTTAAGCAGGACCCACCGCCATATAGTTTTCCAGGCCCGTCGCAGGGAAACCTGTGAGAGTGACCCTTGATGCAAATCTCCGTCCACGTTTTTGATGCCCTCTTGTTCTTCGTAGCTGATGGCAGATCCATGTGGTGTCGACGGTCTGCAACATGGCCCAACAACACAGAAGGCATCCGCGGAGCGAGAGCTTCTGGGTGACGAGACGCAGACCGCGGTGTCAGAACGAACACACTGCGCCACGCAAGACCATCCAACCAAACCCGTGCGCGACGCGTCAACCGCGAACACCCCTTCCCGAAGACCTGCAAAAGATTTGAGAGCAGGGCGGACGACAGAAAGGCCTCATGCAGATGGCCGGCGGCGATTTGCCAAAGCGTAGCGTATGTCAGCATAAGTTGAAGATCCCAAGGAGGGTCCCCGGAAAGCGGACCCCGCCACTCCCCTCATCGACAAGACGCATCAAAACGCCTGTGAACCAAAAAAAGGGGGAGGGGGGGCGGCTCATGGCCGCTCAAATTTTGAGATATCAGGGACAAAGGGTCTCAAGTCCTATTTGTCCCAAAGCGAGAAGGTTGTAAACAACAACGGCCCCCAAGCTCCTCAGGCGCTACAGCAGCTAGCTTTCGTGACTAAAGTGCAACTCAATTATCCATTGCAGCCATTGCAATCCGAACCGATTTATCAATTGCTCGTCGACTACATTGAGAGGAGACAATGGGTGCGTTCTGCCTACGGTGCAACAGCTCATGCAACTCACGTAAGGCACGTGCCCCGAGACCGCAAGGAAGAACCGCAATGGGGCTTGTGTCCCCAAGCTCATGCACCTCAGACCATGTCATGCCACAAGCAGTGGCTCTGTCCACACGTCTATCACTTAGCCCTCTGCCTTTCGCAATATCTTGTCAAAAACTAGACACCGAGTATCCCG